ATTTCTCTTAAGTTCGTTTACTTTTTCTGAAACTTAGAGATGTTACTTATAACTTTTCTTATAAGTCGCTGGACCAGACAAATCATAAAATTTAACCAATTACAAATTAAATAATATCATAACACGGATGCTTAGTTATGGTATGCTTTTAATAGAGGTGTGCGGTTATTTTATTGTAAATTTATTTAACTCTTTTATCTTTTTTATTTTAATTTCTTTTATTAAATGATTGAAGCTAACATTTCTACTACGAAGCATAGAGATTGATATATAATTCATTGTCAGTTATTTCCAAAGGTTTCTGACCAAAGTTTGACCTAATAAATTTTATTTAGCTTATAACTCTTTTTCCATAGCGTTTAAACTAATTAATAATGAAATTTAAATATTAAGCAAGCACTAAATATTCGTCTACCTCGGATGTCTATCACTACTCCAGTTTTTATTTTGGTTGCCGGCATTTTTTTTTTATTACGTTAATAACTTTTTAATTTTAAACTTGGCTACTAAACTGATTAAAGCACTAACATATAAAAGGATATAAATATATCGTAAGTGCTTAAAAATTTTACTAACCAAAATTTGACTTCAGAACATTTCATAAGCGAATAACTATTTTTTCATATAGTGGTTAAGCAAAATTAATTACGGATTTTAAATTTATGATTAAGCACAAAATTTTGGATCTGACTGTTCAGTGCTATAATTTTGTGTGCCGCCATTTGTTTTTATATATTTTCTCTTTAATTACTTTTTTTATTTTAATTGTGGCAAACTGAATAAAGCAATAATATATATTAACAAAGCCAGTTTCATCTATATTGCTTCCATAAATTCGCTAGCCAAAATTTAACCTCTTAATACTTTTTTAGCGAATAATTATTTTTATATTAGGCACTTTACTAAATTAATTACTAAATATGAATTTATTAATTAAGCATTAAAAAATAGCGATAATAATTGTCTCCCTGCTCTAGGTTTTGTTTTGGCGTGCCCCAATTTTTTTGTTTACTTCGTTAATTATTTTTTTATTTTTTTCGGCTAAACTGATTAAAGAATTAACCTCTAACGATGCATTAAAGAATAATAAAAGTTTCGTCATTAATAGTCCCATAATTTTGCTGGCCAAAATATGATTACAAAATATTTTTTTATTTTTGCTTATTTTTCCCATATTTTTGGCTACTAGTTGAAAGCACTAAAAAGCACTAAAAAGCACTAGTGAAGCACTAAAAAATGGTACATGATTCATCGTTAGTGCTTCCAATCTTTCCACCAACTTCACGAGGCTCTATCTATTCTATATTTTTTTAAAGTTAATTAATAATCGTCTACTTTTTTTTTGACGATTATATTATATTTTAATCAATTTATAACCTTCTTAAAATTTTATTTACTTTAAGACCATAAATATTCATATTCATGACAACCAATTTTATTTTACGCAATGGAAGACAAATTTTATTTTATGCAATGGATGGTGACAACATGGTTAATTTTATTTTATAATTTATTTTATTTATATTTGTAATTTATAACTTAATTTTTGGTCAATAATTCTAAACAATATCTTGGAAGAAATCAAATAATTTAATAATTTTGAATAATTTTTTTAATTAATGTCGGAGAATTTTAATATATTTAATGATTATCCCAATATAAAGTTGTTATTCATTAAAATAACAACCACTCTGCCGTCAGGTGCACCGGTAGAAGTTTGGGAATGGTTATGATTCAATTTTTCAGAATATTTTCTCATGAAAATCAAACAATTATTTGTAATCAGTTAATTATATATTTTATATATGTATTATTAAAATCTAGCAATCATTATTAATTTATATTTTGTATATGGATGTGATAACAGCTCAATATATATTTTAGCTCATTATCAATAGAATTCTAAATTAAGCATTATGCCGACTAGTGTTGTTAAAAAGTCCGATTCGGGTCGATTTTAAAAAAACGGCCAGATTAGGATTATAGTCAAAATAACAATATGTAAGCCTAAAAATTTTTACTAAGGGCTGGCAAAAATGCTTGGACATCTATTTGTCAAATCTTGATTATTAGATAACCTTGTTTTATCTAAAATCTTAATCGAGCTGTTTTGAAAAATCGACCAATTGGGCTTTTTAACAAAACTAATGCCCACCTTACATAAGACGATGCACCTGTATCTAGATTCACTTTTAGACTATGCATCTGTATTTAGATCGGAGATAGGATTATCGGTAAAAACATTACGATACATTTTAGAAACTTTTAAATTTTTATTATTAAAAAATTCCTTAATATATTTATTGATTTGATGAAACAAAATTAGTATATATATATATATATATATGTCGTATTGGGATATGGAATCTCGTGGGATTCGGAATCCCAACGTGGGGATTCGAGATCTTGAATCCCCCCATTATTATCATATCCAATATTCAATCCATATTAAAAGTCCACCATAATGACAATAATCATCCCGGTGTCAACACAACAATTAAAAATATAGAATCCGTATATGCTTCAATTCCTCAAAAGATCGTTATAAAATATATCCAAAATTGTCCAATCTGCTCTATAAAAAAAAATCTTCCAAAGGCGCCAGTTGGAAAACCTTTAGTAAGCCATTCCGTCTGGGGGCGGGTGGAAATAGATTTAATTGATATGTCATCTACACCAGATGGTATCTATAAATATATATTCCACCTTAAAGATCATTTGAGCAAGTTTACATGCGCTAGTGCTCTGCCGTCAAAAAAAGCGGAAGGAATTGTTGATATTTTAAGAAACTTATTTTATCAATTTGGGCCTCCAAAAATTGTGCAGAGTGACAATGGTAGAGAATTTAAGAGTAATTTATTATTTATAAATATCTAATTAATTCTTATTCTTAGATAACTTATTTACAGAGATGATAAATACGGAGTTTCCATCCATAATGATTATTCATTCCAGGCCTAGGCACCCTGAGACAAACGGGCTCATCGAAAGAGCAAATTCTACCTTGGAAACGCGCATATCTGCGTATATGCTGGAAACTAAAAAAACTGACTGGGCCCACCAGCTTCCCAAAATTGTTTCTAAAATAAATAACAATTATAGTAGACTCATTAAAAGCACACCTTACGAGGTATTTTACGCTCGTGATCATAACCAAGAAATAATCTCTAGTACAAATGAAATGGATTTAACATCATGTTCTGATAATGGTATTGTTTTTTATATTGATTACTTATTTTTTATCTCTTTCATATTCTAAAGATGAAGGATTCTCCAACACAAGGGCGGCCAATAGTAAAAAATAATGTTATTTATTTTTAATTTTTTTTAAAAATTTAGTTTTTTTCGATTCTAACGAACCCTCGACATCAAATAATGGTATTACAAGAACAATCTTAAATGTTCAACTAAATGTCATGTATCATTAAATAATTGTTGTAATAAATAATTTATTTTTTAATTCCGATTTTTTTTAAAATATATATTCATGCTAAAATATTTATGATTTTTATCCTTTTTGAAAATTTATATTAATTAGTTTATTATATAACAAATAAAGAAAATAAAAACTAGACGGCAAAAATTGACAAAAAAAGTATATTATTTTATTTTAGAAATAAAAACAAATTTAATAGAAAAAAATATTTTTCGAATAAGGGTTTGACTTATAAAAACAGGAGAAAGAAAATTAAGATTAAATTAAAAAAATTTCTTAATAAATAAAAATATATTTATAGTAGAATTAGGCGTATTTGATACATAAAATTAGTCCTGACCCCCCCCCCCCCCCCCCAATAATAGCATCTCCATCGCGAGGTATCGCTTGGCTTGTTGCCTATTCAATATTATATCTATAATAAGTTCAATAAGAAATTAGTTAAAATTTATGGGTCTGAACCACGAATCTGTGCTCGGGGATTTTTTTTAAAAAAAATGAGTTTTGATGAAATTACATTTATATGATAAAATAAATTATTAAAGATAAAAGGTGGTTAAAGGGAAAAATGAATAGAGTTTAAGTTTATTTTTATTATATAAAAAAAAATAGCTAGATTTAAAAAAAAGTTGTTTTTTTTCGTTTTTCCAATTTTTTTTTGTTGTTTTTGTGAATATTTTTTTTCAAAAATTTTAGGAAAGTAATAAGAAAGAAAGAAAAATTAAAATATGGGTTATTGCTTAAGTCAGAGTTTAAGTTTAATTTTATTATATAAAAAAATAGCTAGATTTAAAAAAAAGTTGTTTTTTTTCGTTTTTTCAATTTTTTTTTGTTGTTTTTGTGAATATTTTTTTCAAAAATTTTAGGAAAGTAATAAGAAAGAAAGAAAAATTAAAATATGAGTTATTGCTTAAGTCGGGTATATTATTTTTTTTTAATGTTTTTTTTATGTTATTTTAAATAAATATAGTATTAATGGGTCAATTCAATTTTATTCATTAAATTGAAATATAGTCTTAAAATCTAAGCAATTTTAGGAAAATTAGCATAAAATCTTAAATTTTGTATTTATTAGGGGTAAAATATACCCCATCTTTAAAGTTTAAGTGATTTTTTTAACCTTTGTCGAAATAAATTGAAATATATTATTGAAATTTATACAAAATAAAAATATCGAAATATAGTAATAAACGAGTCAATTTTATTCATTAAATTGAAATATTGTATTAAAATGTACACAGACAGATGATTATTAAATTCATAAGAAATTCTCCAAATATTAAAATAAAAAATTTTAGGAAAGTAATGAAAGAAAGAAAAGAAAGATCACTTAAAGTAATAAGAAAGAAAGAAAAGAAAGAAAGATTTTATTAAATTCTTAAGAAATTCTCTAAATATTAAAATTTTTATATAAAGCTAAAATATTTAAATATTTTTTTTAATTTAAAAAAAAGATTCCAAAAAAAACGTGGGGATTCAAGATCTCGAATCCCCACGTTGGGATTCCGAATCCCACGAGATTCCATATCCCAATACGACATATATATTGTTATAGAGAAGGAAGGAAGTTTTACATCATTTATATGATATAAAAAAACATACATGTATATATATAAATTAAAATTAACAACAATCTAAAATTGATTTCAAATTTTACAATATAGAATAATAACATACCGTTTCAAATTTCTTCCAGAATTCTTATAATTAAAATTAAATTAAAGTTTTCTCAAATTTAAAAGTTTCTCTTGAATAACGTTGTCGTGCTAGCAGCATCTGTATACTAATACACTTTAATAAAATAGAGAGAGATGAAATATTATGGCACATTAAAAACATTTTTTAAATAAGGAGTAAATATTGTTATAAAAAGAAATAATTAAATTTAGGAAAATAATATATTTTGAAAAAGTAAGCTTTAATTTGAAAAGTTTTGCATGTAACTCTGAAAAAAATAACGATATAAAGAAATTTTATCGCCTACATTATAAATTTAGTTTCAAATATTTTCTAGTATTTTAAAACATTAATAAAGTTTTTAAATTTTAGTAAATTTGAGCATAAAGCTTAAAATTATATAAATTTTAGCATGTTGATGACCAAATGATCGAAAATTTAGTAAATCTTCATTTTAAATGTAAACCTTATTTTAATTAAAAATAAAACTGATTTACTTGGCTTAGGTTTGCATTTGCATAGCGGGCAAATACCCTCTCCCGTCTCATGTCCGTATTGGCAATATAACCCACACAATGGACAATCAGTCTCTAAGGGGTTATATTAGTTTTATAAAACAAGAGTTAAATATTTAAAAATTTTCTTTTCGTTTTTTTCTAACTCAAATATTATTAGAATAAAAAATAATCTTGGCTTAGAATTACATTTAGCGACAACCGTCTCATATTCATATAGACAGTTTATACTATATCTAAGCTCTAAAACGTTTTTCCCAGCCAGAAAAATAGATCTATATATAATTAAACCTATACTAATTCGCAATAGCCTTAATTGAGGAGCTATTCAAGAAAGAACAATTATTTTTTAATAAGCTATGTCCAAAATTTAAATATCAAAGAAATTTGATATCTAAAACTGAAAAAAATAATATAGAGTGCAAGTGTTAAGTGCGATTTGGAAACATGGGGTCTGTCTTATGGTTAATAAATAATTGTCAATAAAATAGACTTATATTTTATGTGAAAAGCAAACCGAGCCATAATTTTGTTATAATTTTTAAGTCCAATAAAATGAATCTGATATTTTTTGAAATATTATATATATATTTTTTTTTATCTCTTTTATAGTGTTTTCTGGTTTAAGGAACTACAATATATAAAATGGCAAGAGTGTATACCTTACCTATCGTAATAAAAAGTGGCTAAATAAATAAATTAAGATTAATTTAAATTAATTTAATAAATAATTAACCTTTTTTCTAAATTATATTTTGAGATGAATTAGTTTAACATTATCAAGAGGGGACATGGACTTTTAACCAAGAGGGTGCTTTATATATTTGATGATCATAATATTTTATTTGACATTCGTTAATTTTGGTTCGTAAAATTTAAACGTTTAATTTTGTTATTAAGTTATTTTTGAAAGTTTTACAACACATAAGTATTTATAAATATTGATGCTTAGATGTTGATTCATATTATTAATGGTGTAAATTAACGCATTGAAAATGAACGCGTTTTCGTTTTTTATCCAAATTTTTTAAGGAAACTTTATCACATTTGAGTTTATTTAGCCAGCTACTATTTCTGTCTTATAGTATTGGTTATTAATTTGAATATTATTATTTATATTTTTTAGATTAGAGTAAATGAATGAATGTTGCCTTTAATCATCATCTGATTTTGAAATTCAGAATAGATGGATTACATCACTATAAAACAAATATATTAAATACTATGCAGTAACATCATATATTCAATAAACTAATTCTATCCTTGTCAAATGTTAAATGTGTCCAAAAAGTATAATAGTTTTAAAATCTTCAAATTCTATTTTAAAGATATACTTATTTGTAATATTTGTATTTCATAGGCTAATTAAATTATTACGATTATTATAATAGTTGCATAAAGTAAAAATCATTAAATATTTACATAGATATAAAATATTTAATGTAATATCTTTTAGAATTTATATTTTTAATGTGATTATTTGAAATTTTGATTATCGAGTTTTTTTTAGTTTATTAGTTGAAGAAAATTTAAAGTATTATAAATTTAATATTTTATAATTAATTAACTTTTATATGAAGTTAAAGATTTACTTTTTATTTCATGAAACCATTATGAAATGCTTTTGAAAAAAAATTTTATCCATAAAGTTTTGAAGAACTTGAACGCGTTCATGAACGAATACTAAAATAAAAATACACTTTCATAATTGTGTTCCCATAAAGGAACTCAATAATATTTAATAATTTCTATTTGAATTATTTGACATATATTTAAAAATTCCTTGGGTTCTCTTGTAGTAAGCCGAATTTTGTTGTCAAGATTTTTGTAAAACTTATAGGCTAATAGCGAAAAATGGCCTTAATTATTTTTGAAAGTTTTTTTAAAAACGTATAAAGTTTATAAATAATGTTGCCTAGATGTAGTAATAATCGATATATATTATAAATTAAGAATTAATGAATAAAATTTTTATATTCTAACAAAATCGAAATAAAATTTTCAAGAAACAAGTTCAAAAACTTATAAATATTTTTTTGAATGAAATGGAAATGGAACATGAATGCAAAACTGCACCGTTTCGTGTGTCCTTGGTTCAAAGTTAATTTATAAATATTTGAAACTTACTTTATATTAAATGAGCTTTTTTATATCGTCGTGTTAATTTGAACATAAAATATATATATACATTTAATACTTATTACTTGCACTTCTTTTTAGTCTAGAACCCCAAGATTCCCAAATTCCCTGGGCATCATTGATTAAGTTGTCATCTGAAACACTTGAATAAAATAGAGATAAACCAAACAGTAAAGAAATTAGGGTAAAGTTTAAAAATTTTGTCATTTTTTTTAAATTTTTAGATTTAAATATTGAAGTTTTTAAATAGAAAAGAATATTTATTGTTTTATAAGGAAGCTCTAGTTATATTTTGATACTTGATCCTTTTCTCATAATATAATTTTTTTTTTTACATAACACATTATAACAATCCTTAAATAATTTATTAAAGCACATGACTTATAGATAAGTTTAAGATGTATTGTTTAATATAAAAATACAATTATACAATATAAAATTCTCACATATCGCCAAAAGATTTTATCTATTATATTTGGCTCATTCTATTGAGCATTTTTTTTTAATCAGGTTCTAGGCCTGGACTGTGCAAAAAAAGATAAATTTGCCTGCGAAAATAATTTTTAAAAAAATGGTAATTTTTTAACTTTTTAAATTTCAATAATCTATACATATAATCTTCGTAATTGTATATATTCGTTTTCGTAAAATCTTCATGTTTAAATTTCATTTTTATATCTAATTGAATACTATTAAATCTCAATTTTCATCAAATAATGTATTAAAAGTTAAGGAATAGGGAGACCGGGGCTATTTCGGGAGATTTAAAATTTATAACTAAGATAGGTTTTTATATAAAAAAGTAAATTGGGGGGGGGGGGGGAGGGAATCACCTTCGGACACTTTGGAAAAATTAGAATGCAAAAAAACCTCTTTAATAACTAAAAATCTATTAAATATGTAACTGGTAACTGTAACGAATTACCATTTTATGGATGTAACTAGTAACTGTAACTTATAAAGTTTCTAATATTTTTGAAAGATATAATTTATAAAATTAAAATAATTTACTGTTTTTCTAAACGGATCTTTAATTGTTTTCAATTCTACAATAATATCCTTGATCGTTATCTCCTTATAAAATTTTTCATTTTACTATAAATTTTTTTTTTTTAAAAAGCCCAAAATAGTTTATGTTATTAATTATTATACTTAATCTATGCTTTTGACAATTGACCGTTCTCATTTTTAGTTTGAGAAATTTAGCTTTTTCTAAGTGAAAAAAATAAGAATTATAATAAACAACACTAATATTACCAGTGGCGTAGCAAAAAAAATTTCCTTAGAGGAGGTCCATAGATATAAAAGCTTGGGAGGCGAAGTCCCCAGACCCGCCTTTAACGGGCCTTCGGCCGGGTTTTTCTTATAATATAAAAGTCCTAGAAATATTGAGCATTTTAAATGCATCAATAATATGTTATTACAATTTAGTAGATTATTCTCAATGACTTTATAATAATAGTAATATAATATCCTTCCACAAACATCAAAACCAGAAAAATATAAATATTGATGGTATTCCTATAGCTATGCCACTGGATATTACTTTAAAATATGGAAATTATTCGGATTTAATATAAACCAGTAAGCAGAAGATAACATATTTTAATTCCCAAATGATTAAAATTTCCAACTTTTATGAAAAGCTCGCTCGATTGGCTTGCTATCTTTTAGACATTATGCTATCTCTTTAATGTTAGCATTCTCTGGTATTGGTATTAAGATGTGGATGTAAAAAAATATTATACGAAGTATACAATGACGCCTTCACCGGTACTATTAAAGCTTCGATGAAACTATGGGGATAAAAATTAAAAATTTGATGACTAATTTTTTTTTCGCAATATATATTAAATATTTGAGATTATAACATTTTATAAGTAAAGTAGGGGAGATCGGCTATTAATGTCCATGGTTTTGGCTGGAAGACAAAATATCTAAAGACTGTTATCAAAGATATTTAATATGAGTGTTATGTCCTAATCTATAAAATAAAATTACAATAAAATCTATATCGCTAATAGCTTTTTTTAGCTGCATCATTTTTTCTTGTCAGTTATGTTCAGTATGGTGGTGATGACTGGTCATGTACTCGGTGTTGAATGGCTAAATAATCGGTGTTCACTAGCCTTAATATTTTATTTATACAATTAATCATCAATATGAACTATAGAATAGAATATATTTACACTTAAACCAAACCTGATTTATTATTTTTACCTAAACACTTCCTAAACCCGAACCAATATTCGTTTCAATTAACAACCTGATTTAATTTAACGATATTTTCTATTTATAGTAAATATTAAAAACCTATAACTATTCAAAATTTCAAATATTTTTCTCTGGAATAATAGACATTATGATTGTTATGTGGCCAGTCATTCCTTTCCTATTGTTTATTATTTAATGGTCGTCTTTAAATAATTCTGCATATGATTTTAGGGGTTTTTGTGATTATTAAGGTTTAAGTATTCTATCTATATAAAATATTATATATTATGCGTAAATTCTTCACTAGACAAAAAAATATAGATCAATATTTTTGTTCAACAGAAATGTATGGAAGCCTTTTTTTTAAATGAGATACATGGTTATACTATACATATTTCAAGATATTTTCTATTCCATTGATAGGCAATTATAGCAGGTTCTTATTCTTTACACCCCTCTTGGTTACCAAATACGGATCACGTGTTCATCACGTTTAGTGTAAAAATATTACCTCATAAAGCTTTGCATACTACGCCTGCTATCGATAGAACCTGAGGTGATGCACCTAAATGATTATTTATTAATATTGTATTTAATTAATTTCTTTATCTGCTTCTCTCCGATGAGAACTATATTAAAAATGAATTGAACATAATATTTTACCCGTTCTATTTATATTAAGGTATCCTTTATGACTATTAAAAAATCCTAAAAATAAAGCTTATTTATCCCATTCTTCATGTCTTTCTAGTTTTATCTCTAGCTCTAGTTTCGATAGAGATGTAATGTAAAATAAATTTATCGGAAAAAATAAAAGCTTTAAATTATCCTATAAATTCTGCTAATCTATTTTTTGATACTATAATCATGGTTTTTGTCATTCAAACAAAAAAATCCCCTCTTATTTCAAAATCGTATTTTGTATTTTTACATGAAACAACTATTCATCTCTCAAATTAAATTTCTAAACATGATTGAAGACCTGTATTCAGAAGAGAACACGCAATTTTTATTATTACCCTATTTTATTTTTATTATATTTTCTTTTAAGATTCCAATGTCAGAATTAAATTGTGTTTCATTAATTTGTTATGTTCAGATATACATTTTTAATTTCGGTCTTTTATTTACTTCTTAGATGCCTACAAAATATTCAGATATTCTTATTTTTAAAGAGAATGCTCGATGAAGAGGCCTATTATGGTGTAAGCAATTTTACAAAACAAGTTATTTGTGATATGATCTCGTTATATACACAATTACAGATATCAAACACAATTGATTTATAAAACGGCTGTTGATAGCCATATAGGAGAGATATATGATTCTTAAATGACATTAGCAAAAAAATTTGATATCGATTATGTGATTGCTAAAAATTCGTACGTGACTGGGTAGACTTTTCATAAAATTTTGGACAGAGTGGGCTTTATTGTTATTGCGCCGAATTTCATAAAAATTCATCTGCTCTTAGAGGAAAAATTTTTTAACAATTTTTTTACAACCCTATTTATTTGGTGACCAATAGTCAAGGGCTGTGGAACCACATAAGAATTTTACTAGTTAACTATGAAGCAAAGTTGGGCAGAAAATTACATATATAATTAATTCCATGATTACACGTCCTTAATTAGTAACTTCACTTTAAATAATAAAAAATGGAAGTTAGTAATATAAAATAATTGTATTTTATCAGTTATAACTCAAATTTATATTTATATTTACTATTTTTTTAATTAATTCAAAAAAAAACTCTTAATAAGTGCAATCATTCCTACATATTTTTATATTTAAAACTATTAATAATATTGCAATTATTCATCTATATTTTGGGCGGAAAATAATGAGTGATTCTGAATCCTTAACTTTTACCTTGAACCCTGACGATACCTCCGATAATTGCTCATCAAATTTAATCTTACATTCAGTAGAAGATAACTCTGAATTATCAAACATTTTTTTTGGAATAACTGATTAAGCCACACGCGCTGCTTGTGTGCTCTGTTATCAAATTGCAAAGGGCCACAATCCATTAAAAAAAAGGTGACCGAGATGAAGCCCCAGAAACTTTTTAATTACCCCCCCCCCCTTTTGAAAAAGCCTTGCTACATCTATGTGCTTAGTTTGTGAAGTATCGCTATATCTTTCGAAAAAAAGATATTGTTTTTAACCTTTTCATGGATAAATCATAAATATGTTTATATGAACTAGAGACCTTCATGGGCCGGGCTAGGGCCTAATTATAAATTTTCTAGCGGGCCTGGGCCGGGCTTGGGTTTGTTGGAAATTTTTGCAATAGGGCTTGGGCCGGGCTTGGGCCTAAGTTTTTAAATTCAAATTTAGCTTATTTTAAGGATATTTAATAGGATAAATTTAACAAATCATTCTGATTTTATTAGTGTTATTTATCAAATTTCCTATACACCTTGGGAGAGTATATATTTTTTAAATCGGAAATTGGTATAATTTTACTTAACTTAACACAACGGCCTGGGCACGAAACAGCGAAAAAAGAAACAGCGAAAATCAGGGAATATTCCCAAAAATGTTCCCAAAGATGGCCAAACTTCGAGGATTACTAGAGCTACCAGTAATTTATTCTTTATAAATCTTTTTAGCTATATAATATTTTTAGCTTCATCCTCATTATTGGATATGTCTTCATGGGAGGATGATACAATACTTCATAATGAGACGGATGCTGATGAGATTAATTTATATATGGATATTCAGCTAAATGAAGAGGATATCAACTATAATGACTGCATCCTAGATTGGTGGAAGAAGCATGAAAAAATCTTGCAAAAATTGGCAAGATTAGCCAAAAAAATTCATGCAATTCCAGCATCTAATGTTTCCAGTGAACGGAATTTCAGTACTATTGAAAGGGTTATTGAAGAAAGAAGAACAAATTTAAATAACGAAATTGTAGATGTTATATTATTTTTAAATTTGAATTTGAAAATATAAAATTAAAATTTTGTTTATATCATTTATTAATATTATATATATATATTATTACTAAATAAAATATTATATTTCTATTAGTATTACTTCAGCATAAGTTAAGTATACATAAAATAATTTTATGGGCTTGGGCCGGGCTTGGGAATTATTTGAAATATTAAAAACGGGCCGGGCCTGGGCTTAAAGTTTTTTTTTACGATGGGCCTGGGCCGGGCTTGGTCCTAAAATCTAGGCCCATGAAGGTCTCATATGAACAGTGTGATAGCAGATGTCTCATTCTAAATTTTGTAATATCTTATGAAATATTTTTTTTATTTTTACAAATAAAATTATAACGAAATTATATAAGATGTTTACTATATATCTTCATCATTTTCAATATAATATTTTAAATTGTGCAAAAATATGATTTTTAAGTCATAAATTTCTGTGGATGAAAGGGTTAAAGAAATTAAAATGTTCAAGAGAAAAAAATAGTATTTTTCACGTATAACATTTTTTAAAATACATAGTGTAATATTAAATATAATGAAAATATACATATATAATTGATAAATTATTATTGACATATAAATATAAATTTGCAAAGTCAAACAACGTCAAGTCTATCATCAAATAGGTTTATTTATTCAAGGGTTTATATAAAAATAATCAACGCATCTGCATGCTGTGCATCCTTTGTTATCTTTATATTCCTCGCGTGTGTAAGGGCAATGAAAGAGAAGGCAAGGATTAGAGCAATTCGAATCTATCGATAGATTTACAAGAGTCATTTATAAAATAATTACCTACCACGTACTTCATTCGTATCCTTAAGAGCTAAGCCATTTGAGTAATATAGAAAGAGAATGCTCAACAAAAATAATACGGTAAAATATAAAAATTTTGACATTTTTTAAAATAAATAAAAATCTAGATTAAAAATAAATACTTTAAAAAAATACAATTGTAAGCAATCATTTAAAAATTATATTTACCATAAAATTTAGAAATTTTGACATTTTATCAAAAAAATAAGTCTAGATATAAAATAAATACTTAGAAAAACAATTCCTTATAAATCATATTTAAAAATTAAGTATAATATATGGTTTTCCTTGATCGTTATCTAATTTATAAAATAAAAGCATAACCTAGCCAAAAATAATTTATATTGTGGCTATGCATGCATTACTAAACGACTCAAAATGATATGAAAAAAACAAATTAAAATTTTTAAAATAAATATTTATCGTAGTTTCTGAGAAACTTGCTTAAAAATAAGCATATCATGTTGCAATTCTCTTTGGAAAGTTGTCAGATCAGGCCAATTTCCCTCCTCTCTCTTGGAAATCCTCATCAAGCTACAACAATTAGAAACAGATATTATTTTTCTCTGAGCTTTATATAAGGCCGTGAGCACGGGAAAATATTGTTTGCAATAAAGATATTAAAGTTTTTGAGATAACCAATGATTTGAATTAAGGATCAGCTTTCTTTAGAGTAAACAAAAACTAGGGACCCATCAATGAAATCCCTACAATTTACTATTTTAAAAATTATTATCATTTTTCTATTTAATAAAAAAAATTATTTACTAGAACCCTCAGAAGAGAAAAAATTTATGATCGCAAACTGAAACCATTTTTTTTTAATACATACAAGATCCAGAAACCAAAACAGGCAACCATTTGTGGGGAATCTGTTCGGACATGTTTAAAATTTTGTGTTTAGATTGTTTATTTATTGTTTTTTTAAGTCTTTTCTATTGTTTTACCTGAACATGAAACCCTCTGAATCGGACAACCTGAATTCACTTCAAACCCCGTTTTTAGTCTAGATTTTAAACTTTGATTAATTAATTCTTTTACAATAATAAATTGTCTTCTTGGGATCAGCCAGCGGTATGGGTATTTATATTATCAGCTTTTATATCGGCACGTCTCAGCCAATGCCTTCCACTAGGTCGTTTGACACAGTATTGTTAGCTAACAATGACCGAATATATCCAAGGGATTCATTATAAGACTTAAGCATTATGACCGTGTTCTGGTTCAACTTATTTTTGATGTTTACTTATGCTTAGCCCAGATAACATTTGAACTAGGACATCCTATTTTAGTTTGTTTTAAGTGTTTGGCGTGTTATTTCTCGTTTTTAATCTTACATTTTAGTTATTTAGTGGCTTACAAAAACGACCCGATTAAAATTTTAACCAAAATAACATTATGTAAACCCGGAGATTTTGCTCATATATAGCAGAAAGATTCGGACCTCTACTTTCTAAATCTCTAGTCTTACATTAATTTGGCTAAAATCTTAATTGGGGCGTTTTTAAAAATCGAACCAAATCGCACAATTTAACACTTGGACACGCCTCATGTATTTCTTTTATATAGCTTTAGATGAATTAATACTTCTTTATTATCCCTTCCTCCTTTCGTGTTTTTAAGGCCCTTTTTTTAATATTATGATTTTTTATATTATCATCATCATTTTTACTTAATTAAATAATGGTATAAGAAATAATCTCCCCTTTTTTCTTTTTTTTAACTGAGTACCGCATTTTCGGAATCATGTTTGTATTTTCTGCTGATAATAAGCTTAAAATAAAGAATTTTAATAAAGATCTCAATAATATTTTTTTTTAGAAAAAATCCACAAGCGTTAAATTAAATAATTTTGATGGAAAATATAATTGTATTTAAAATGAATTTAGATAGTTTTTGATTAAAAAAAACTAATTTATCCCCATTTTTTTGTATTCTTGCAATGGCGCAATGGCTTATCTTTTTTACTTAAAACTCTCACGTTCTCTTTTTTTTCCACACAAAAGAATTTGTCAAAATAAATTGTACCAAAAAAGATATAACTAAATGGGTAAGTCTCCTGATAAAAGTTTTCAATATTTTCCCTCAGTGTCTCCAAACTTTTAAAATATATTATTCTAATAAAAATAATATTCGAAAATACCTGTCATTATAAACCTAAGAAGAATAGTGGATCAAGTGATAATTGTTTCTTGACCTTGATAAAACTTGCTAATTCTTTGTATGTTATTTATATATATATTAGAAAAATGATAAAATATTAAAAGGGATCTAACGAACATGACAACTATTTATATATACAAAGAGAAAAATATGAAATTGAAAAACTTATTAAGATCATTAATTTTTCAAATGATTTTAAAAGCGATATTTATTTTATTATAACAGTACAAATAATTGAAGTGGTTTTTTTTCGCCAAATTATTACAATGACGACGACTTGGATATCAATTTGCAAAATCAAACAACACATATTATAATAAGTAATATCTTTTTAAAATTAGATTCAATCAAAATAATCGATACATCTACAAGTTGTGCACCCTTTACTATCTATATTTACCACAAGTTCATTAGGGCAATTTAGTACGCTGCAACTGTTAAAGCATGGAGTGACTTGACCTAAGAATACATTTGCAGGCATCATTAATAAAAATAATTACCATTGTCATAATCCCTAGGCAATCCATTTGAGAATAGTAGAGGGATTAACAGTAAAAACATTACGATATATTTTGGAAAAATTGACATTTTTATTCCTAAAAAATTCCTTAAAATAATTATTATAAAACAAATGTGGTTTTAAGTGAACTGATTTGGTAAAATGAAATTATTATATTGTTATAGAGAAGGAAGCTTTACATCATTTTTATATATATATAAACATATACGTAATATATGAATTAAAATTAACAATCTAAAAGTGATTTCAAATTTTACAATATGGAATACCGAAATTTCTGGATCATTAAATCTTATAAATAAAATTAAACTTTAATTAGATTTTTCCCAAATTTAAATTTTATAACGTTATCAGGCTTATAAAGATAATACTATTTTAAATAATATTTTCCGACTTGAATCTTATATTTATGCATTGTAAATATATAAAATAAATGGAAGTATAACGCCACCCTTATACGCCCTCAGACTTTAAAGAATAAATGTGTATGTGGTTTGGATATATCTTTCAAAAGAGGAGTGGGACAAAGCAATGGAAAGAAGGGAGAGGCTTATTTATTTTTTTAATTAACATTTTAAAATATGATATTTATGAATTTAAAAGCTAAATATGATATTAAAATAAAATTGATTAAACAAATAAATCAGCAATTCTTATTATTTTAAAAATAATGAGCAAATAGGCATTGGGCGGAGTGGAGGATTTTTTTAAAAAATTATAATCTATCTGGGTATGCACCTGGCTCTGTGAATTGATGTTCGAGCTGTAGTTTCCTACTATTTCATAAAATCTAATCATGATTGGGTTCGTAGAGGACGTTGAGGCTTAATGCATTCATATGTTTTGCATCCATGACAATATTCTATGCAATAACCTATTGATAAAGTTATATAGAGGCAACCCTCTGCAACATCGGTAATGTACTAATCCATTTGAATAATATAGAGAGATAGAAAATATAGCATGTTTTAGCGAGAAATTATAGTATATATTTTGGAAAAGGAAGTAAGCGAACAAGTTCTTTATTTATTGTTATGCATGTATTTAAAAATATGTAACGATAAGGAAAACATTTATTCGCCTACATAATAGATGTAGATTTCATTCATGACATAACATGGTAATTTTTTTCGGATTATATATTTTAGCAATTTGAGCATATACAAGTTCAAAAGAATTTTTTTTAGCAAGACCAAATAATCGAAAAAGTAAAAATTAAAACCTTCATTTAAATTTTAACTTTTTTTCAATTTATACTATGTTTTCGGGTTTAAGTAACAAAATATATTTTATAAAATTGGCAGAGTAAACTTAAACTAATAAAGTGGCTAATAAAAATACGTTTGACATTATCAAGAGCGCCCATAGATTTTTTATTTAGAGGGAGCATTATATATTTTAAAATCATAAGGCTATCAAGAAAAAATTGTTTATTGATGGAAAACTTTAGGGCTATTAACTATTTACACTAGTATCATACATATCAAACCGTTAGGCCATTTTAGTAAATCAAATAAAATAGTAGCTTCATCTATAAAATGATTAATTTGGTAACGTTTTAAATGTATTTAAAATAATTTTATCCTATTAACTGGATCAGGTCAAGATGTGTTTCATCATTAAAATGAGCTTTAGGTGCTAAAATTAGAGTGGTCATTTGCATATTTTTTTCAGAAGATGGAATATGCCTATTTGGGCATGACTTATTAAAATATCCTTTATATACACAAACTAAAACTAAGTAAAATTATAAGACAAGTAGGTTATGAAATTATAATAAACTTACTAAGATTCACTTTCATGAATTAGTTGTAAAAGATTTAGAAGAATGTTTTTTGTTGACTTCGTTACAATATTAATTTTCGCACATTATATGTTCCTCTTGGGAACTTATTTCAATATATATATTATGTGTAATTTTTAGTATTTAAATAATGATAAATTTTTTTAAATTGTGAATTAAATAAAATAAGTAGCAATTATATTTACATTACAACAATATAATACAGATTCTAACGTAGTACATTAATATATATAAAAATATGTAGGTTTTTTTCAAATTGTATTCGATATGAAAAAATTACCTGATTAGGTTAAAGTTAATATAATAAAATATTAATTTAACATATGATTTATGCATATGTTGTTCAAGGTAATATGCTATTTTTTGCATTTAAATCATTATTTGGGCAAGTATATAATAAAATACTTATTTAACATATGATTTATGCATATGTTGTTCCCGGTAATATGCTATTTTTTGCATTTAAATCATTATTTGCGCAAGTTTTTAAACTAATTTAAATGTACTACATCATGTTTGGAATGTCTACCCTATAAATTTCAGGCAATTTTGCCATGTAGGAGAGACTGAGGCTAGTTGAACCGATTTTTACAAAGTCGGCTACAACTCCTAATTTTTAAGATATTATAAAGAACAATATATGAATCGATACCTATAACTCTACTCTATCAAGGTGGCTTATAAATATTTCTAAAAATTTTTGAAATATTATTTTTTTGTAAAAGTTGAAAATTTTACTCAACAAGCCCCAACAGCGGGGGTTAGACATTCCTAAATTAGTTTTATTGAATTGTAATGCTTTTTATTTATTAATAATGATACGTATAGAATCATTTTATTATTTTATTGTTCAAAATTTTATAATACCTTTAAATTGTGCTATATAAATAAATTTAGTTAATTTAATATACATTTTGAACATATAAAAACAAGGATCTTAAGGAAAGATAGGATTTCTTCGCATATTCCCTAGATACCCATCATACACATCCATGAAATTTTCTCCAAGTTTTTAAAATATTTTCCATATTAACTGCCATAATTGATGTATATATGGTTTTAGCTAGCCCGGCTAGCTCTAAATTGACTAATCATGATTGAAATAATATCTAAGCAAAATAAATATTCTTAAAACTTTCTCAAATTATAAAAGAGGGTTAAAACTTTGTTGACATCAAAATTTTGTTTTCATAAAAAAATTTAAAAAATTAATTATTTCAAAAGATTTTTTACCTATAGATGCGTAGTAATTAAAGCTATATTAGGATAAAATTTAAACATTCTAGTCTATTTAATTTTAAAATGAGATTAAGTAGTTGCCAGGCCCATAAGTTTACCTAACCCCAGTCTCCCCTACTTTTGAACTTAACATAATTTACATTAGTTCCTCCATAGATTTTCCATACAAATTATAAGCGATTCATAGATTAATGGCAAAATTATATACAATTCATAAGATAAGATAGTATTCTAAACATGCCAGAATGAATTTCTGGTAATATCAGATTTTTAAATTTTAAAAAACGCACTCAAAAAAATGATTTAATGTAAATTAACATTAAGATATATAAAAATAACATATACATATAATATATAGATTAAAATTAATAACAATCGAAGAAATAGTTTAAATTTTACAATATTGAATAATATCACACCGTTTCACTGACTCCAGAAATCTTCTAATTAAAATTAGATTAAATTTCTTAAATTTAAAAAAGTTGCTATTAAATAACTTTAACAGGCTTATAAAGATGATTCATTTTTCAGATACCTGTAGAGTACCCATATACTCGGCCTGGCCTGTTTTTAAAAAAATATAGCATAGGCGGATGGGGAATTTTTTTTCAAAATACTAGCATTATATTCTTATTTTTGCCAGGTTTAGAAGTTCTGCATAATAAAAATTTTTAAACATTACTTTATTAATTAAAGCAATATCAATAACGATAACATAATATATTACACAATAAATTAATATATAAAAGTTGTATAATTTTAATATATATTACCCAAGATTAATAAAAATTTTGAATATATTTTTGTTAAATAAGATCTTTGATGCACTGGCATGTTGGGCATCTATTACTATCCAACACATTTCCATTAGGACAATATATCATGCAATATGGCCGGCATTCAAAGGGCCGACCTATTGATAAAGTTATATATAGGCATTACTGATTAAAATACTTTTATTACCCCTTGTAATATAGGTATGCGCTAATCCACTTGAATAATATAGAAATAGAGCGGTGAGATAAAATACTATAGTAAATTTTAGCAATTTCGACATTTTTTTTTAAAAAAAGGAGTAAATTTTGGTATAAAAGAAATAATTTAACTTAGGAAAATAAATTATAGTAAATAATATTTTAGAAAAGCAGGCTTTATTTTAAAAACGAACAGGATGTTTTTATTTATTGTTTTGCATGTAGCCTTGGAAAATATGTAACGATAAGAGGAAACATTTGTTGGCCAACCAACTTAATTAAATGTATATTTAAATCATATGACATATTTATAGAATTAAAATAGGAAACATAAAGTTTAGAAAAAGTAGTAAAATAATTAAAGCTTTCATTTAAATGTAAACTTTTTTTCCAATTTTTAAAAGTTTTGGGGGTTTATGGTACAAAATATAATATATAAAAATGGCAAAGAAAACCTATATACTTAATAAAATGACTAAGTATAAATTAAAATCAATTTAGTATTTATTTAAAAAATGATGAACGTTTTTTTTAATATTTTTTCTTAACATTATCAAGAGCACTCTTAGTATCTTATAAGAGATACCCAATTGACTATTTTAGTAAATCAAACAAAATACTATATAAAATAAGAAATTTAGTATAGCTTTTTAAAATATATTTGTAACATTTCTATGTTACTAAAGATAATTGCATCATATTTAACTGGATTAGGTTACTGGGTAGATGCAAACAAGCTTACTGGGTAGATGCATCGTTTTATCATAATAACAAGCTTTAAGTGATAAAATAAGAGTCATCGTTTGCATTTTTTTTCAGAAGTTGGCATACCAATTCCCTCTGTATACAAAAGAAACCTAAGTAAAATTATAAAACAAGTAAGTTATGAAATTTAAAAAAACCTTACATAGATATATTTTCATAAATTGGCTTTAAAAGATTTAGAAGAATATGTTTTTTTGTTGACTTCGTTAGTGATGTATCCAGGATTTTCCAATGATACGGGGGAGGGGAGGGATATTGATATTTAAAGAATAAATAAAGGTTATAATCAAATTTTTTATTATTTTAAGTTAGGTATATTATATTTAATTAAAAAAAATTTAAATGTAAAATTGAAATAAATTTTAGTGTCATTTTTATTATAAAATTTGCTTTAAAAACTAGCCTCAGCTTAAATTCTCATATAATATAAGTCAAATAAAATATTTTTATTGAAAATACTAATTGTAGGATGTATAAAATATCGACTAGAAAATAATTTTAAAAACAAGCTTTTATGACTTTTTTTATCAAATACAATATTATGCAAAATATTTATTAAATACTATAAATTTTTTAAATGGTCATTGCTTGCTTTATTTGAAGTAGCTGTTTTAATATGTTATCAAAATGTAATAACTGAGTTGTAAAGTAGCGGCGTTCCTGGAGCGCAGCTAAACTTTAGCAGAATCACCTGGAGCGCCACTCCTTTTAAAAATCAGGAGCGGGAGAGGGAATCAGCTCCTTTTAGGGCGCTCCACCACTCTTTTAAATTTAATGTATAAATTAAATTATGTTTTAAATATTAATACATCTATTTATTAATTAATATTCAACAAAAATGAATTTTTTTTAAATTTAAATTTATGCAATTTTAAATGTAGCCGAGTTTTATATTGGTTTTTCATCTGATCAGTTAAAATATTAAACTACAAATTTTTTTTTTATATTGAAAATTTCTTGGAAAATCTTGTAAGCCATATTAATAATAATTTTATAGATATATGATAAAATAGTTTTTGATATTTGTGCACAAAATATCAAACTAATATATTAATATACATTTTTTAAGAAAACAAATTCCTGATGCAAAGATAGTAGTTCACGGGAACCCTGCTTAATTTTGGGATTCCATGAAATTGATCATCAGGATAATATTTGGACAAATACTTTTTAAATATTGATATCAAAATTACTATTTTTGATAAATTTACTGAATTGAAATTTTTTTGATAAAATACAATACACGGCTTCCCTCTAATGCTCCTGTTGAGCGCCTGTTTAGTATTGCTAAACAGGTTTTAAGGAAGCGTAGAAGCTTTAGATTCAAATTTAGACATTTTATTACTTTAAAAAGCTAATAATAGAAATATTTTGATATATCATTTAATATAAATAAATTTCTTTGATAAAAAATATGATTTAGTTTCGTGTACTTTTCTAAAAAAATGAAAATCAAAGGAGCGGGTATGAAATGGCACTCCATTACTTGGAGCGGGAGCTAAATCCTTTTAAAAATATAGTAGCGGGAGACTAAGCTAGCTCCTTTTGAGATGGTAGGAGCGGGACTTACCTACTTTTTAAAAGGAATGTAATATATAATTTACGAAAAAGAATAAGGGATAAAAGAATGAAAATTATGAAGTCCCAAACCAGGAGTTATCCCTTGACTAAGGAAGGACATTCCATCAGGACGTTTTCCATCGGTTCTAAAAATGTTGGTTGGTTCAAGTCCAAATGGAATGCCTGCGGATTTGAGGGCACGTAATATGATATCATTGCATTTGGTGTGCCGTGGAAAGCGGCCTCGACAAAGGAGGCAATGTCTGCCCTTGCGATCAATGCTGGTTTCGCAATGTTTGCATTAGTACGGTCGAACAATTTCGTAATTGAACCGTAGTCTAATAGCAAATAGCTCGTCATTGGAAAGTAACAAATCAAGGTTGTTACAGAGTATGGTTTTCAGAAACTCGAAACCAAATCCTTGGTTCAATTGGTGAAAAACTGTAGATCGTCGGCTCGATTTTAGATAAGCGACGGAGCCTTCTTTGATTTTCATTTTCGTGGGATATTTGCCAATTCATAAAGAATTTCATTTGTCATTGGAACCAAATCTCTGTGGATATTTAACAGAGGTAACCCAAAGCCGAGATTCAAAAGTAGTATTTCGTAACTAAGTTTTCAACCATTCATTCGTACATGTTGTGATAGGCACTCATGCAAGGATATAACAATGTCAAAATATTTGGAAATTGAGCCAAGTTTCCTTATACCGAACTCTGCTCCATAAAGATGTCTTATAAAATTTTTAAGAATATAATCATGTTTTTGATATGTCATTTTTTGTAAAAGTTGAAATTTTTTCCAACAGGCCCCAACAGCGGGGTTTGGCAAACCACTGCAAGGGCCTTTCTAAACCAATTTTGGTTTTATTAAATTTAAATGCCTTTTTATTTATTAATCATGATACGTATAAAATAATTTTACTATCTTATTGTTCAAAATTTTATACTTTTAAATCTGGCTATACCAATCATACACATCCAGGTAATTCTCTCCAAGTTTTTTAAATATTTTTCATATTAACTGTCTTATGAATGTATATGGTTTTAGCTAGCCCGGTTAGCTCTAGAAATAATATCTAGACAGAATAAATATTCCTAAAACTTTCTCAAATTATAAAAGAGGGCTAAAACTTTGCTTAAAATTTAATTTAGATATGATTATATAGCAAAAAAAAATTCTGTAATATAAAAATGTTTTTGAATTTGACATCAAAATTGTATTTCTTGAAAGAAAAAATTATGATAATTAATTATTTCATAGATTTTTTTATCTAAAGATGCATACAATTAAAAGCTATATTATAATAAAATTTAAACTTTCTAATCTATTTAATTCTAAATGAGATTAAGTCGTTTTCCAAGCCCCGGGGTTTACCTAACACCAGTCTCCCCTCCTCTATTTTTGAACCTTAATTTATATTAGCTCCTCCATAGATTTTTTATATATAAATGAATCAAGGGTTAATGACAAAATTATCTACAAATAGGTATTCTAAACATGCTGGAATACATTTCTGATAAAATCAGATTTTTAAATTTAAAAACCAGCTCAAAAATTATTTAATGTTGAAAAAATAACATATTGTCGCTAAGATATATAAAAATAACATATATGTATATAATATATAGATTAAAATTAACAATATAAAAGTAGTTTAAATTTTACAATATGGAATAATATACCTTTTCAAATTTCTGACTCCAGAAATCTTACAATTAAAATTATATTAAATTTTTCCCAAATTTAAAAAGTTGCTATTAAATAATTTTATCATGCTTATAAATAAATTCATTTTTTCAGAGACCTGTAGATGTTACCATTTGCTCGGCCTGGCCTAGATATTTTTAAAAAAATATAGAATAGACAGAGGGAATTTTTTTTCCAAACCCGGATTGTGAATTTATGTTCGAACCTTATGTCTTATGGATTTATTTGTCAGGATTAGAAGTGTTCATGGTTAAAACTTTTAAACATTACTTTATTAAATCACTATCAATAACGGTAATATAAGATATTACACAATAGATTAATATATAAAAGAGGTATAATTTTTTAAAATATATTACACAAGATTAATACAAATTTTGAATATATTTTTGTCAATCAAATCTTCAATTGCACTCACATGTTTTGCATCCTCTACTATCCAACACATTTCCATTAGGACAATATATCATGCAATAAGGCGGACATTTAAATAAATAACGACCTATTGATAAAGTTATATATAGGCATTACTGAAAAAAATACTCTTATTACCCTCTGTCACATAGGTATGCGCTAATCCAATTGAATAATATAGAAACAGAGCTGTGAAATAAAATACTATGGTAAATTTTAGCAATTTCGACATTTTTTTTAAAAAAAAGGAGTAAATTTTGGTATAAAAGAAATAATTAAACTTAGGAAAATAAATTATAGTAAATAATAATTTAGAAAAGCAGGCTTTATTTTATAAACGAACAAGATGTTTTTATTTATTGTTTTGCATGTAACCTTGGAAAATATGTAACGATAAGAGGAAACATCAGTTGGCCAACATAATTAAATGTATATTTAATTCACATGACATTTAGACCTTTTACCAAGAAAGAGCATTATATATATTTTTAAAAGTTATCGAGAAAAAAACTTTCTTTATTAACGAAAACTCTTAGCGCTGTTTATACTAATATAATATAAGGGCAACACTTTTGATTATTTTAGTAAATCAAACAAAATAGTATGTAAAATAAGAAATTTAATATCGCTTTTTAAATTTGGAACATTTTTATGTTACTAATGATAATTTCATCCCTGGGTAGATGCATCGTTATATCATAAACGTGAATAACGAGCTTTAAGTGAAAATTAAAGTAGTTATTTGCATTTTTTTTCTTCAGTATGCCCATTTGGGCATTTATTAAAATGTACTCTATATACAAACAAATGCTAAGTAAAATTATAAAAATAAGTTATAAAATTTAAAAAAACCTAACATAGATATATTTTCATAAATTGGTTGTAAAAGATTTCGACGAATGTTTTTTTTGTTGACTTCGTTACAATACGAGTTATCGCACATCAATATAATGAACTGCCCTATCAATACAATCCTTTGAACATTAGGTCCTTATATGATATTCTACTTGTTTTCATATTTTGATCAAAAATATAAATCCATTAATACCGGTAGAATTGAAATATATATTTTTAAACAAAACTTGCCTACAAAATATTTTTCACCAGAAAACTTTTCTCCGTCAAAAAAAACAAATTTGCATTTTCAAATATATTCTTTTTGGGAACTTAGCGCAAAATAGATGTATTATATTGTGATTTTTAGTTTTATAATAACAATTAAATTTTAAATTATGAATTAAATAAAATAGGGAGTAATTATATTTATTATCTGCACATCAAATACAATACAAACATTTATAATTTAATTAATAAATTAATATAAATAAAAAATATGTAAATTTTGACAAATTGGATTTGATAAAAAAAAATACCTGAAGTTAAAAGTAGTGATATATAGATAGCATAAAATAATTATTAAAAATATGATTTAATAAATTTCATTCTTAACATTAAATACAAAATGAATATTATAAAAAGAACAATTACACTATTCAAAAAAATTGTCAATATGATTTCATATATAATTTACGGTAGGCTTCATATATTGAGTAGTAGCTTTGAAATCAAATGGTCAAGTTTTAATGGGACTGATTGACAAATTTCTAGGGAATTCTTTCGCTTTATAAAAATTGGAAGGTACTGGATTTAATATTGAACTACTTGTATCTGATTCTTCAGTATCGCCAGATGCCACAGATTGTTTTGGAGGGCTAAATGTGAACGGTATTTGCTAAAATAAATTAAAAATAATAATGTGAATTATTAGGTCGAGAATTTAATATTTTTATTTTAATAATTTTATCCTTACATTTTAAAAATATTTTTTGCAGGATAAAAAATAAATAAAACCTTCGGAGGAGTCATTTTCTCATTGACTGCAAGTTCTTCTCGACCCCTATCTGTTCCTAAAGAAGGTTTACTCGAATCTTTGGCAGGGATGTGATCTTTGTGATGGTTAGTTTTGTTAAAACCACCTTTTACATCCCTCACTTCATCCACTCTTTCAGAAAGCGAAGATTGACTAGAAGTTCTGGGTGAAGTATAAATTTTTATAAAAAAGTATATAACATCCCTGCCTTAAAATTTGAGTCGCTACTCGACATTTATATTTAGGGGGTGTGAAATTTAGCTTTATTTGAATAAGGTAATATAAATTAAGAATAAACCCAATTAAAATATGTTACGTGATTGTATTGTTTTTAAATTTAGACGTTTGAAAAGTATTTTCTCAAATGATATATAAAAATAATATAGTAAAATAGCTCGTCTTTACCATAGTTGGTAATAGCCGATTTTTTTTTGGCATTCTAGGCTAACGTCAGTCAGCGTTTGGTAAAATATGCTTATATTTATGTAGTAATCTCATATATATTTAACTTTTTGTATATTAATCTGCTTTAAGTTAACTTAATGAGAATTTATATATTCACTTTCTTTTTGAGATAATAATATATACTAAATTGATTTGAATTTACTTCCTTGTTAAAATAATATTCAAATATATTTTATATACAATTAACTTTTACCGAAATATATATACTGATAAATTATGATAAACAACATTATTTTATTATCTAAATAAATAATTTTAATTCTTATCTAACTTATCCTTAAAATCCTAAATTTATTTTTATTAAAATTATTTATATCTATTTATTTTATTTTGATTTTTATATTTATTGTTCAATATTTGCTTTTCTTTTCTTTTCTTTTCTTTTTTAATTTTCTTCAAAATGGGATCCATACAATTGTCAAAATTACAGAGGCATAAAACTAATGTCACACTGTCTTAAGCTCTACGAAAAAATAATAGAAAAAAGGTTGAGACAAAATCGAAATAGGAAACTCAGTTTCTCTTTATGCCTGGAAGATCAACAACTGATGCTATCCATGCAATTAGGCAAATGAGTGAAAAATACAGGGAAAAGAACAAAAAGCCACACATGGTCTTTCTCGATCTATAAAAGGTTTTCAATAAAATCCCAAGAAAATATATCTGGTGGGCGCTACGCCACAAAAAGGTTCCGGAAAAATACATAAGAATAATACAGAATATGTATATGGGCCATATATAACAATGGTCCGTAGCACAACAGGTACTTCAGCAGGCTTCACAATAGCCGAGGGAGTTCATCAATGGTCGTCTCTCAGCCCACTTCTCTTCATTACAGTAATAGATGTATTATCACAGTCTCAAAAAGTCCCGTGGAATATGATATTTTGATACTTACCGAATCCAAGGATGAAATGAAAGAAAGATTAGTGAGTTGGATAAATATCCTAGAAAAGCACGGATTAAAAGTAAATAGAGAAAAAGTGTATGGTGATAGGAGATGAAACAGCCAGCATTGATATAAATGAATGGCAGATATCGGCAATTGAAAGCTGCAAATATTTGGGCTCCACTATACAAACAAACAGCACAATAGAGAAAGAGATAAAGAGTAAAATTAATCCAGGGTGGTAGTGGAGATCATTATCTGGAGTGCTCTTTGACAATAGAATCCCACACAAATTGAAGGGAAAAATTTACAGTTCCATTAAAACCAACTATTCTATATAGTTCGGAAACATTGTCAACCAAAGAATCAGACGAGAGAAGTCTACAAACTATAGAGATGAGAATGCTGAGGATGATTGCTTAGGGTAACAAGAAGGGATAAAGTGTGCAGTACAAGAATACTAGGAAGTTTAAAGCTAGTGCCCATTAAGAATAAGATAATGGTAAACAGACTTAGGTGGTATGGGCACGCAATGAGAAGGCCTATGATCTACATAGTAAATAAGGTTGAGAGTTAGGAAGTGATGGGCAAACGTAAAAGAGGAAAGCCAAAACTTCAATGGGGCCATAAAGTTAGAGCCAATATGAAGAAGTATAAATTAGATGAAAGAGATAGTATGAATAACATAAAGTGGAAGAGATACTGAAGGAGCTTACCACCAGAAAAGGTGAAAGCTAGAGGAAAAAAAGAAGTTAATATCTCAGTTGCGAGCGCTTCAGAGAGGTTTTCCATGAATAAAGTTAATCAAACTCTATTTGATGTCAATTACTATGACGAAACAATTATACTGCATACCAATATTGATAGAGACGCTTATCAAATAAATATATATATTTATTGATAATTATTTTATTTTTTAAAATTTTTGAGGGACATATTTTCAAAATCAAAAATAAATTTTTTTAATTAGATTTAAACTGTCAAATTTAGGTAATTTTAGATTAATGAAATATAAACGCTAAGCGTAATATTGGAATGAGATATGAAAAGCGTTTTAAAAATTGGGATCTTTGCCAATCCAAACCTGATCATTTTCTCACTATTTAAAGGTAGGAATAAGTATATATATAAAATGAGATAAACTTGGTTTCCTTTTCAATATTTTTCTTTTCAGCTTCTCCTAAATTTGTATTTGCGTGTTTAGGGGGTCCTGTTGTAACGATAGAAAGTGAAGAAGAGGATGATGAAGAAAATGATGTCTTGGTGCTTAGGGAATTGGTATCAGATGCACTGTTATCGCGATTCAATTTATCTCCACCTTTTTTAGTCTTGACAGGTGTCGATTCATCGTTAAGAAAAGTCTTAAGATCTAAAGGCAAATTATCATCTTTGACTATAGCGTCTCTAGGTTGAAGTTTATTTCTGATAGGCTCAGCAATGCTGTCCTGAAATTTTACAACTTTCCTTGTGTCATCAATACGGCTAGGTACATTTTGGGATTTGATAGATTTGTTATCACCGGAAGAGGCGGAATAGCTCGAGGCAGTATATGTGGAATATTCGTCATCGGAGCTAGTAGTTGATGATTGAATTACTTTTTTATATTTTTATATATTAGATAATGTACAATTAAAATAAAATAAACCTTACTTATTTTGTGAAATCAAACGTAAATTAAAAATTTTACACGAACCTTTGGGTGAATGTTTTAATTTCATGCCTGGTTGATGGGAACTAGAAGGGTGTTCCAACATTTTTGTGATGCGAGATTTGATATCCATGAATTTCGGGTACGCCTATAATAGTATAAACATTGATTAATTTTGGGTACGTTAAAAGTAAATTTGATTATTAAAAAATAAATTTTCAATTTTTAAATATAATTACAAAATATAGATGGCGCTAAATATTTATGGTATTGTTTATATTAATTTTGGGAAAGTGAAAGCAAAGAAATTCGGGAAAAATAGTTAATATCAAAGAATCTAATTAGCCTCGAAGGGTAAATTTTTTTCTAAAGATACTAATGACGAAAAAATAGAGCCCAATGCTATAAATATCACAAAAAACACCAAATGTCAAACGATATTTATTCCTTATAAATAATGAGTCGAAATATTGTACAGATTTACAACATCAGTTGGGGTCAACTTCTGACCGAAAGTGGCGATGATGAATGAATTCCATTTCAAAATAACTCATTATTCCTTTTTTTTAAAAGGAATAGGATTATAAAAATGGGTCTCAAATCTCATAGCAACATTTCCTGAGCCACCTTTTTTAAAAAAATTAAAATATTTATTTTATATAACTTAAGTTTATAATGCTGTTTAATTTTTTTTTAAATAATAACAGGGGACCAAAAATTATAATTAAAAGTTAACAAGGTTTAATATAAATCATAATACAGGCAAAACATGGGAAGTTGATAGTTATTGGTGAAATAAACACCCAACGATGCCTAAAAATTTGCAAGATTCAAAATATTTTATGGGAATGATGATAAACATTTTCACCCTAACCCTCAAATGACTTCCCTCTCTATTAAATACCATGTGCAACAATTGTATCCTTTCGTTTACTCCAGGGAAGGAAATGAATATATGTTTGGTTCAGATAAAAATAGCGGTTCGGTTCATAAAGAATAATAATATCGATTTAAAGCTTTTTCGCATACATGTGTATTCGAATCGAATTATGTTTAAAAAAATTCTTATTTTAAATATTTTCGAGATTCTCTTTTGTCAAATTTTATACATAATGAAGAAGAATGAATTTTATGATTGAAAACACTTTGATATGTTGGGTAACTAGAACCGTCAAATAACAATACACAAAAATGTCTAAAAGTAAAAGAGTTAAAATATTAAAAAGTTCGAACCTGTATTTTTTTTTAAATTTCTATTCTGATGAAAATTTTTTAACTGTTCAGGTTTTACTCTCCTTATCTAACCCAGATGGAAAAAATTATATATATAAAAAAACCTGTTTAAGCTTATTTTCTGTTCTGACTAATCTGTTTGATAATTGATTGAACTCCTCATTGTTAATTTGAGATTTCTGTAAATTAAGCAAGCATTTTGAAAAAGTTATAAACATTAAAATGAAACTTCATCGTATTTTTCGTCCAATTCGTTCAAAATGGAGATTAACAAGTTTGAAGTGATAAAAATGTTATTAATTCATTTGGAATGGTAAAAATTTAATTTTTAATGTATTATTTATTATATTTAACAGGTTTGGAATGGTAAAAATGTTATTAATTCATTTGGAATAGTAAAAATGTAATTTTAAATGTATTTATTTATGTTATTATAGGATTTAATTTCTACAGCAAATTAAGAAAGCATTTTATTATTCAAATATGGATTATTAATAATGTATAAGACAAATATTAATTAAAATGTATAAAACAAAGAAATATGATTAAGAATACAATTAATAAATATAAATTATTCAATATTATCAAATACATTTGAATTGTATACTAATTTAATATAAGCTGATGATTTATCAGCAATGATTATTATATTGTGTAGTCAGCTTTTCCAAATTTCTTTCTTTTAGGATATATTTGGAATTTGTTTTTTTAGAGTCATTCCTAGATCGATCTGAACCTTCTTTAGCTTGAGGTTCCTATGATCCAATTGTATAAGCTTTATAAAGGAATAAATATTTGGATGGGACGACTTCACCGACTTATTTAAGGCTGAATGCCATCCTTCAAGGTGATTGTTTGTCCGGGGACCATCCATTGCATATCTACTACACATCCCTCGAGAAAATTGAATTGTGCCCTATAAAGAAAAAAATAAATAAAAATAATATTTTTTTAAATTTTACCTGGCCAGGTTTTATCCTTATATAGAAACAAAGGATTAAGGTCAATATTATTTACACGAGCCAAAGTTTTACTAATATCTAGAACATCATCAATATCATATTACCAACAGAATAGACAACATTTGAAGGGGAACCATTTCTCTTAGCCAATGATAATAATGAGATCCTAATATTATCAACACATGAATATATTGAATCCTTGCAGAGGCTGAAACCATCTACATGGATGGCACCTTTTTCATTTCCACCAAAATTTACAAACAATTATACACTTTTCATATTTATTATAAAGAGCATATGGTAGTAGCCATATATGCTTTATTGCCAAATAAAAGTAAATCCACCTATATAAAACTCTTCCAAATGATAAAAAAGATATGTGAGGACTATAACTTTATACTTAGTCCAAAATATGTTCAATTAGATTTTGAAAAGGCAGCCATAGAGGCCTTGTATAATGTATTTATAAATTTACAAATCAAAGGTTAATTGATAATATTCTTTACTTTTTTTTATCCTATAATTTGGGTGTTTTTCCCATTTAACTCAAAGTGTTTGGAGAAAAGTTAGATCTTTACTGCTAAAAAAAATATATCATGAAAATCCCATAGTCAGAAAAATTGTAAGGATGTGCATTTTACCTCTTCTCAAGCTTGAGGATATTGATGATGTCCTAGATATTAGTAAAACTTTGGCTCGTGTAAATATTGACCTCAATCCTTTGTTTCTATATATGGATAAAACCTGGACAGGTAAAATTTAAAAAAATATTATTTATATATATTTTTTTCTTTATAGGGCACAATTCAATTTTCTCGAGGGATGTGTAGTAGATATGCAATGGATGGTCCCCGGACAAACAATCACCTTGAAGGATGGCATTCAGCCTTAAATAAGTCGGTGAAGTCGTCCCATCCAAATATTTATTCCTTTATAAAGCTTATACAATTGGATCATAGAAACCTCAAGCTAAAAAAGGTTCAGATCGATCTAGGAATGACTCTAAAAAAACAAATTCCAAATATATCCTAAAAGAAAGAAATTTGGGAAAGCTGACTACACAATATAATAATCATTGCTGATAAATCATCAGCTTATATTAAATTAGTATACAATTCAAATGTATTTGATAATATTTAATTTATATTTGTTTTATACATGTTGAATAATTTATATTTATTAATTGTATTCTTAATCATATTTCTTTGTTTTATACATTTTAAATAATAAATATTTGTCTTATACATTATAAATAATAAATATTTGTCTTATAAATTATAAATAATCTATATTTGAATAATAAAATGCTTCTTAATTTGCTGTAGAAATTGAATCCTATAATAACATAAATAAATACATTTAAAATTACATTTTTACTATTCCAAATGAATTAATAACATTTTTTCCAAATGAATCAATCATTTTTACTATTCCAAACCTGTTAAATATAATAAACAAGTTTGAAGTGATAAAAATGTTATTAATTCATTTGGAATGGTAAAAATTTAATTTTTAATGTATTAGAACGAATTGAACTAGTTGGACGAAAAATACGATGAAGTGTCTTACGATCAAAGGCATCCCCCCCCCCCATAAAATCAAATAAAAGAAATTCTTCCTTGCAGGCTAATTATAATTTCTTTCTATCATTCAGTTTTATTGTTTTGGATTATCTTATGATTGTATATATAATTATAATTTTTTTTTATTTTATAAATAATTTAATAATAATAAATTAATGAAAGGAAAAGATACAATTTATTTGTTGATATGTTTTAAAAAAAATAGTTAAAAATTGTGCACCACAACAAGAAGATTTGAAAATATCTAACGAGTTTGTAACTCAATATTTTGGGCAAAAATATATTAATCATGCTTATTTATTTTGCTCGTAGAGGGCAGAAGTTTGGACTTCTGTTGGCAAAATTTCGAGATTTAGGTAATAATAGAGCTGTTTAATAACACTACATTCACTAAACATTGCTAATATTTTAAATGAGATTAATAACTTTTTGGAGAATATAAAAAATGAAAGTTAGTTGGTTTTTTAAAAAAATAGAATATATTGTCTATCACATTGGTTCAAAGATAGTTGGTAAATAATAATCAATATAAATATCGGTTAGATATAGGATCAGTTTTTCAATAATATCGGATCGTATTGGTGAAAAATTTGTGGATCGACACAGCCTTAATTATAATACAGGTATATATATATACATAGATTGGGAAACATATAGGAAAGTAATTTACCGAGGCCACCTTTAAGAGGATGATTTATATAGAAGATCCTTTTGTAAATATATTTATCAAATATTCCTTTTGTGAGTTAATTGAAATAGGAACAAAAATAATTTAATATACTCCTTTTTATTTAAATAAATAAATAAATATTCTAACCAAATAGAATTATAATAATCCTTAGCCCTAGATAGTATTTTTAAAAAAAATTTTTATAATAAATAAAATAATACTTCATCTATTCCATAATGCTTCATCTGATTTGCCACAGATTTCATAATCTTAGGCCTAACTCTCTCCATATATTCCTGCACCAAGGAAGGTCCCTGGTACGACAATCTATAAGCATAATTTCGATGCGATGGATTCAAATATCGTAAAAGAGGGTTTATAAGCCAATTCGGGTCTTTAACGATAGTTTTATCGAATTTTACCATTTCCACATCCTTCGAATTCTCATCATTTTTATGATGATGTTTTGGGGTGGTAATTGTTTTTGCGGGTAAAGATTTAGGGGTAGAAGTAATTATAGAGGATGTCCTACATTTCAATAAAAATACCATTTAAAAAAATAATGATAATTTTTTGCTAAATGAGATTTTATAGGCATGACTAAAATACGCGTCCTACGCGTCCCCGGTCAAACGGATTTAATTTATATAATATTAATAAAAAATCTTATTTAGCTTTATAAGATGAGTTAAAAAATGTTTTTTATGATTTAAAAAAAAAAAATAACTTAGTAAAATTTTTAAAAAATTATTTTCTTAAATGAAAAACTACGCGTCCCCGGTCAAGATACAGTTTTTTTTAAAAAATAAAAGCAGATTCATATTTAGCTCATTAAATGGATACAGAAAATGTTTTTTTATTTTAAAAAAAAGTGATAACTTAGTAAAATTTTTAAAATACTAATTTTTTACATGAAAAAACTACGCGTCCACGGTCAAGATACATTTTTTTTAAAAAATAAAAGCAGATTCATATTTAGCTCATTAAATGGATACAGAAAATGTTTTTTTTATTTAAAAAAAAGTAGTAACTTAGTAAAATTTTGAAAAAACACTTCTTTTTTCATTTTTTGACTAAAATACGCGTCCACGGTCAATATAGATAATTTTTATAAAAATGAATATAGAATCGTGTATAGTTTATCAAGGAGATTCAGAAAATGGTATTAATAATTTTTTTTTAAAAAAATATTTACATTAAAAAAATTTCCAAGCCAGTTTTATACACATAATAATGGTGGTAAAATTTTCTCAAGCCTACAAAGCGGTAGTGGTATCAAAATTATGATAATAATACTAGTTAAAAAATATTGATTAAATTAAGTTAATTTTAATAAATCAAATATATATGAAGAATTATAACAAAATATTAAGTTAAAGGGGGGCTGAAGGGTATTTGTCTTCGTATCGTTAGGTCCTGAGTTCGAATCCCGGAGTAGGAAAAAAATATTTTAAAAAAAAATTTAACATTACACTATATAGTCTCCTTAAATTTTAAATACATTAACCCTTCACTACATAGGTGGAAAAAACACCCGCGGTTACATAGGTGAGGTCTATTTTATTCTAAATTTTAAATAGATATATCTCAGAAAATAATAAAATTTAAGACCTAAAATTTTAATTGTAAAAATATTAGAGATAATAAATACAAAATTTCTAGTTCCATTTACTTCTAAATAAAGTTATGGTATTTTTACTATTATATTTTAAGTAAAAAATTTATATATTTTAAGTAAAAAAATTTATATATTTTAAGTAAAAAAAATTACTTTATTTTTTTAATAAATAAATTAAAGAAATTTTTTTATATAATATTTATTCCATACTTTTTTAAAATAAAAAATTTTTCTGTTTAATAATTGTAATTGTATTATTGAAAATTTATAAACATTTTCATTTAGCTCAATAAATTTTGATATGGAACTTTCTAATCATATGAAATAAATAAATATATTTTTTATAGTTAAATAAATTTTAAACATCAGTAATTAAAAAAAATATTTGATAGTTCATGCATCTTTTTTAATTTAAAAACATTCACTTACCCCACCTTTGTAGCGAAGGGTTATGGAGATAAGAAAACGTTCATTTCTTGATTACTACGATTATATATCAGATGTAAATCGTTAATATTCAATCCGCAAGATGGCGTTTATCAATTTAATGTAATTTATAAAAATATTCTAATTTTTTTCTCATTCTAAATTATCAGTAAAAAAAATAGGTAGGTTGAATAAATTTATTTTATTGTTTTCGAACTATTTAAATAAATATATTAAGAAAAAATAATAATTAAAGATTGAATCGATACTTACCTGCGAACCAACTTATGTTTTTTTTATCATCCTCAGGTTATTATTGCTACAAAATACACAAATTTCTTATAACTTTAAGACACTACATCTACTTAATAAATTTTTTACTTTTGCACGGATATTATAAAATCTTAATATATTGGGAATAATGTTTTTCCTCCTTAGTTTTATTTTCAATAACTTTCACAAAATTTTAAAACTAAATTAATTTTTTAAATGGTCAATTAAAACAGATTAATTTAATTTCATCAAATTTATAAAACAAATAATTTTATTTATCAGATATATAAACCATTTATTATTTGAATTAAAACATCATTTATTAAATATAATATGATTTATATAACATATTATTATATGGTATAATTTAAAAAAGATATTCTTTAAATAAAGTTGATAATAAAAAAAAATAACTATAAGTAAAATAAACAATTATAGTTACCATTATATTGTATACATTATACATTAAAAAGTAAGCATAATATGGTTAAAAAAATAAATATCATTTTTTCGTAAAATAGTATTGGTGTTTCATTCCTAATTGTCTTTAAAGATGTTGTTAAAATTTTAATCGTTATCCAATGGATCATATGACTAAGGTTTCGTCTTACGAATGTTTGATAAGTGTATTATGTTTGAAGACGATATCTGTTTTCTTGAATAATTATATAATTATTTTAAAAAATATTTATTCAATAAGCATGATTATTTTGATAATAATATTAAAATTTATAAATATCTATTTAACTTTGTATTAATTAAAGAAATATTTTCTCTATGATGGTCTTAGCCATAAAAAGTTGGAAATAATTTATTTACACATTTTTATGTTTCCGCTCTTAGCCACGTGGAGGCAACCATTTTTAAGAACTTTTAGGTCTTAGTTTAAAAAACTAAGACCATGGATATATTAGCGGGTTTAAAATTTTAAACCTGACATTATATTATTAGATTTAAAAAATTTTAAATTTATTAATTAAAAAAAAAAATTACTACCCATAATCTAATAACTCATCATCTGTATGATGATCATTATTAGACTTGGGATTAATATCTAATCTAAACATCCGACGCCAAGTCAACACAGGGTTCCTGGTTACTTGGTGTCGGCGCCGTTACGGGAATAGGCATTGTGGGTATAGGCGCCTATACGGGGATAGGGATTATGGGAATCGGCGCCAATACGCGAGAGGGCACCGTGGAATTAGGCTCTCGGGCACGGCTCTCTTGACAAAATCGGACGATATGATCGCCACCGCATCTATAGCATCCAGATGTACATCGAGAGCCTCTCGAGGAAGATCCTCTTACTCCGTACCAATAGTTGGTACCATAGCCCCTCCTAGGGCTACGCGACCTGCGAGACCGTCTGTCTCTAACAGGCCTCACTATATTGAGCATTTGCCCATATAGTCGGGAAGCTTCCAGTCTAGCTTCCTCCAACAGGTTATCCAACTCGATCGATCAATCATGCGGATTGATATCGTTATTACAAAGTGACCGACCCGAAAAGTCGAACTCATCTAAAAATAATAAAATAAAGGGAAGATACAAATTAAATGTTTAAAAATTAATATCCATATGCTTTACTTTAATTTTTTTATATTGCGTTGGTTTTTTAGACCCTTTATATTTAACCAACTTTAATTGACCACATGTCGAAACTATATCATCATCATTTAAAATCCGTCCTTTCATCATTGCGATGAGACGATGACGACGTTCTTTATCACTTAATTTATCCCAATTTTTGCCCAAAATAAATTTCTTATAACTTTCAACAACAAACTGCCCGTTCAAGTTCTTTCTCTTGTACCCTATTCTTATTGGTTATTTTTCTATTAAAGTGTGTAATGGGGAGGTCTTTCTATCTACTAAAGACTTTAACATACTATTAAACGATTCACAATCGTTGTTCGACCATAAATTAATAATTATTTTTTATGTAATGGCTTATAAATATAAGAAAATAAATTATCTTCTAATTTTTTATTTTAATAATTCATTGACGCAATATGATTTTAATTGCAAAATTCTATGATGAAACATTTCATCATTAATCGAAAATACAATTCTTCTTTGCCAAAGATATTACGTAAAATTTTTTTGCGATGTTTTACATCAACTCCTTCTTTGTCTCTCAAATATTTAATCATATTTCTTCTCACATGCAGTAAAATATATGTGTCATAGACTTAAACCTTGTATATTAAGTGTAGATAAAACCTACAATTTATCTGAATTATTTGTTATGGCAAATATATACAAACATAAAGCAGTTTGTAGAAAGCAAAGAGGAAACCATCCGATATATATGGGTCCTATATTTTTGCACGGTAAATCTAATTTAGAGACGTTTAATTATTTCTTTTCTCATTTAAAGCACCTCTTTACCGCACATGATATAAATGTTGATAATCTAATAATTAATAGCGATGAGGAATTAACGAAGATCGCTGCTATTAGAAATAATTTTAAAACATGGGATCATTTATTATGTTAATGTGAGAAGAAATATTATTAAATATTTGAGAGACAAAGAGGGAGTTGATGTAAAACATCGCAAAAAAATTTTACGTAATATCTTTGGCAAAGAGGGAATTGTATTTTTGATTAATGATGAAATGTTTCATCATAGAATTTTGCAATTAAAATCATATTGTGTCGAAAAAAGATATAATTCATTTCTGAATTATTTAAATAAAAAATTAGAAGATAATTTATTTGCTTATATTTATAAGCCATTACATAAAAAAATAATTATTAATTTATGGTCGAACAAAGATTGTGAATCGTTTAATAGTATGTTAAAGTCTTTAGTAGATAGAAAGACCTCCCCATTACACACTTTAATATAAAAAATAACCAATAAGAATAGGGTACAAGAGAAAGAACTTGAACGGGCAGTTTGTTGTTGAAAGTTATAAGAAATTTATTTTGGGCAAAAATTGGGATAAATTAAGTGATAAAGAACGTCGTCATCGTCTCATCGCAATGATGAAAGGACGGATTTTAAATGATGATGATATAGTTTCGACATGTGGTCAATTAAAGTTGGTTAAATATAAAGGGTCTAAAAAACCAACGCAATATAAAAAAATTAAAGTAAAGCATATGGATATTAATTTTTAAACATTTAATTTGTATCTTCCCTTTATTTTATTATTTTTAGATGAGTTCGACTTTTCGGGTCGGTCACTTTGTAATAACG